TGTAACTCTCACTAGCAAAAGAAGAATTTAAAATGCCAGTTAGGCATTTTGTAAAATATCGCCATTAAAAGTGCAATATCTTGAGTTAAGGGGGACTTGTCTAAAACCGCATATGAATATTTTTCTCAATAATTGCAATGCACCCTTAAAAACATTATTAATTTATGAGCTTGACAAAAAAATTACTGAAGTAATAATGAAATTCTGCATACGAAATGAAATCTTGAAATATGTAGGTTTATTGGAATATTTGTTTTTAGATAATAATATTAGAAATGAAATGGAAACATATATTACATTAGTACCTTATGTAAGCATTGTTGTTAATTTCTAGTTTCTATAAATTAATTTTATCCATGTGGATAAAAAATATTTTATATTATTTTTATGCATACTATTATTTTTTTAAACTTGGTAGTATACCCAATGGCGCTATTGGCGCTCTTTTTATTAATTCATTTTTAATGGTCTTTACATATAAAGAAGGTTTTCCTAACTAAGCTATACCACCCTCAATTGTCTGTTTTTCTCGCTAACTCTAGCAAGTCAACCATGTCCGGTGCCCTGTACCTATTGGATCTTAAGCTGCTGTTTAGGAACTACATATTCTGCCAGTACACTATATTGGTCAGCCGTTTTTCGTCTGCTAGGAGCCACTTCCATTTTCATTGGTGTAGCGTTAGTTTCCTGGTTTCATACTTCCTAGTTTAGTCAGTATCCTTGTTTTGTTTCATGTTTGTCTAATTCCTATTTTATAGTGGATGGTCCTTATATTTACGACATTTCTTGTCAGATTTTTTTCTTTTCTGGATGCCGCATGACCTCTGTGGCTATATCACGCAACTTGTTATTGTTGTAGTACCATGTCCGTAACTGGAGAGATGTTTGATGCCTCTTTATAGACCCTTGCTATTCGTGATCCCAACACAGTTTTTGTCATTTACTAGACTCAAATCGGCGAGCTTCTGAAGATGACCCCAAAGTGCTAACTACTGCACTATCTGAACCAGGGTCATTTGCGTACTAATTTCAATGTAGTTAAGTCAACAAAATTATAAATGTCACAATAATCAAATTTAAAATATAATAAAATCGATCCAAATCTTAAATTGCAAAAATACTAATCCAAAAAATATCGTTATGATTACTTATACCCGAAATAACATTATTCAAATAACATAAAATTTAACCAATAAAGCTTTAAGTTTATACTTAATATTTGAAAATTGAAATTTTGGATTATTTTAAAAAATTTAGGATGGCCCAAAAACCAACTAGACAAATTTGGACCTAAATCATTCATTTAACTTAAAATATATCAATAATTAGAAACATTAACCAAATGCAGTTTTATGCAAACATCTGGAAAATAAATAGGTGCATCTTAAAATTTGATACACAACTGATAGAGTATTTATAAAATAAAATAAATTTATAAACATAATTAAAAAAAAATTGGTTACATTATACCTACTCTAATTGCATATATATAAATTATTTTATTCGGCAAAAATGAGATACATATTCTTAAATTATGTTAAATTATTAAATTACAGACTTGTTACAACTATTTTCAAAGGGCGTGAACATTCTCAAATTACCATGTTATAGGAAATTTGCCAATTTTCTGAATGTCAAGATGGTTTTTTAACTTATTAGAACATACAGAATATAAATATACATTTTATAAATTGCAAAGTATGCTCGTAATGATAATTTTACAATAAAAATATAAATAAATACTATATAGCTAATAATAGTTATGAAGTTAAAATTTGTGTTCTGTATGTAATAAATAATTTGAGTTGTGTCGGAGTTTTTCACAAAAAATAATTCACTAGTAGAGTCAGAATATTCATTTAAATTTTAGTATTTCTATTGATTGACAGACTGAATTACGCACAGTTTATGATTGGGATAATTCTTGCGATGTAAATAGTTGAATTCAATAATTATAAATAAAGGCCCTTTTGAGTAACTCAAGCATAAGACCAGGCACGCATTATAAACCAGGCCAATACTAACATACTAGCTGATTAGGCGGGTCACACAGAGCTCAAAGCACTAGCTGATTAGATGAGGTGACACAGAAGCCCCCAAATTAAACTCAGACTAACAACTAATTTCATGCTGACACATCGGTCGATCACATGATATTACACTAAGCATTAACGAGAAATCACATAAATACACTTGCCACAGACTCTCTCTCTCCCTCACAGACAAAACAACAAAAGATCAATAAAATGTCATTAAAATCTGAATTTATAAACACTATAACTATAGTATTGGTCGTTTTGTAGCCTGAAAAATTTGGCAAAACAACCGCATTGACAATGTTATAGGAATTTTTCTTAAAACCCAATTTTCCTGATAATAAGAACTATTAAAAGGAATTTTATAATTTCAGCCGATGGTTTTCCACCTGCATAAAGCAGGCCGGATGGAATTCTAAAGAACTTGAATTTACAACAAATGACGAATCTTGATTGTTTTTCAAGACACAGGCGTAACTCCTATTCTTGTGACTGTTCTTTTGGTGATTTAATAATTTGGAATCATAATTTCTAAATTAAGCAGTAAATAATGTCACATAGTTGTCAATTAGGTTCAGGAGTTGTTGATGTCAGGTACAATTATTTTCAAGCATGCATTACTATCATGTGAAAGCACCAGCAACTACTGTTTAGCTGTAATTTGTAAGTAATTTATTGTTTTGTGATATCGGTTTTTAACAAGACGTGGTTTGCCTTTAACTAGTTCAGGACAGGGACCGGACCAGATGCATCCCTACCAGAAATGTAAAAATACGTACTTACGTAAATTTAGTACATACAAAAGTGTGCTGTAGCAATACCAAAATCATAATGAACCTACTTTAATTCTTTTTTCACTTTAAATGGTATCAAAAATGTTTATGGATAATATGCCCGAATTGATGGAAAATATTTTTAAAAATTTAAATAAAGAAATTTATTCATTATACTCATGCATACTTGTGAGCTGTCATTGGTGCAAAATGTCAATTCCTATTCTTTTGCAAGATCTATTTTTATTCGAACAAAGAAAGCCTTTATTCATTTCTAAATATTTTTTGTCACTTGGTAAAAACGAAAAATCCATTTTAAAAGGATTTGGAATAAATACTAAATTTTCTGAAACACTTTTTGATTATGCAAGATTTCTAAAGGTTCTTGATCTATCACATTTAAAATGTAATGTTGAAAAATGGATTGATTTATAGCAAGTTGTTCCAAAATATTATTATACACTATCATTATATCATATAATAATTTTATTAATTAAATTATTTATTGAGTCTGGTGCCATTTTATACAAATTAGATTTACATTATTTATATATTCTTGATTATGAAATTAATTTGGAGGGACCTTTTTCATTAGGACAACATAAGCAATTTTTTTCACAACTCCAAGATTTAATCTTGAGCTTAATGATATTCGGCACTGAAAATGCCACTAATTTATTAAGAATCTTGGAAAAAATGCTACAAAAATTAGTTCTTTGAAACTTGATAAATTTCATTCTTTATATAAGCCACAGTTATTTCAACCCCTTATACATATTATTAAATCACAAGGACAACTTGGACAATTTAGCATAGTTGGTAAGCATTATTCTGCAGAATTCTTCAGCTTTAGAGAGTCAAAAAAACTCGTTACAAGAAGTTATATTAGAATATTGTGATTGTAGTACAGAGTTTGAGGTACTAAAAAATAGTAAAAATTTAGAAATTCTTTGTATGAGGTATTACAGCAATCAGAACTGTTGAACATATTAAATTGTAAAATTAACACTTTAGAAATTGTTGTTGTCCATATTGATGCATCATATATAATTCAAATTTTAGAAAATTCTGGTTTATTACTACCACAACTAAAATTTAGTTCTGATTCTATTTCGGAATAATCTTTATTACTAGAAACACTAAAGTTTTTCTGCCCAAACATTATATATCTTACTATTTCTTTTATTGTGTCATCCACACAACTCCTAGAGCTTATTAATAATTTACAAAACCTTCAATTTCTCACATTAGAATGTAACTCTCACTCACTAGCAAAAGAAGAATTTAAAATGCTAATTAGGCAGTTTGCAGAAATATTGCCATTAAATGTTGCAATATCTTGAGTTAAGGGGGACTTGGCTAAAACCGCATATGAATATTTTTCTCAATAATTGCAATGCACCCTTAAAATCATTATTAATTTATGAGTTTGACAAAAAAATTACTGAAGTAATAATGAAATTTTGTATATAAAATGTAAATTGAAATACGTAGATTTATTGGAATATTTGTTTTTAGATGATAATATTAGAAATGAAATGGAAATATATGTTATATTAGTACTGTATGAATGCATTGTTGTTGATTTCTAGTTTCTATAAATTAATTTTATTCATGTGGACAAAAAATATTTTATATTATTTTTATGCATACTATTTTTTTTTTTAAACCTTGGTAGTATACCCAAGGGCGCTGTTGGCGCTCTTTTTATTAACTCATTTTTAATGGTCTTTACATATAAAGAAGGTTTTCCTAACTAAGCTATACCACCCTCAATCGTCTGTATTTCCTAGCTGACTCTAGCAAGTCAATCACGTCCAGTGCCCTGTATCTTTTGGTCTTAGGCTACTGTTTAGAAACTACATATTCTGCTAGTACGCTATATAGGTCAGCCGTTTGTCTGCTGGGAGCCACTTCCATTTTTGTTGGTGTAGCATAAGTTTCCTGGTTTCCTACTTCCTAATTTATTGATACACTTGTCTTGTTTCACGTTTATCTTATTCCTATTTTATAGTGGATGGTACTTATGTTTATGACGTTTCTTGTCAGATTATTTCTATTTTATGGATGCCGCATGATCTCTATGGCTATGTCACGTAACTCATTATTGTTATAGTACCATGTTCATAACAGAAGAGATGTTCATCGCCTCTTCATAGATCCTTGCTATTCGTGATCCTAACACGGTTTTTGTTATCTACTAGACTCGAACCGGTGACCTTGCGAATATGACTCCGGAGTGCTTACCACTGCACTATCCAACCCAGGGTCATATGCATACTATTTTCAATGTAGTTAAATCAACAAAATTATAAATATCACAAAAATCAAATTTAAAATATAATAAAATCGATCCAAATCTTAAATTGCAAAAATACTAATCCAAAAAATATCAATATGATTACTTATACCTGAAAATAACATTATTCAAATAACATAAAATTTAACTAATAAAGCTGTATATTTATACTTAATATTTGAAAATTGAAATTTTGGATTATTTTAAGAAATTCAGGACGTTCCAAAAACAAACTAGACAAATTTGGACTTAAATCATTTATTTAACTTAAAATATATCCAAATATAATTTGTGCAAACATTCCAGAAAATAAATAGGTGCATTTTGAAATTTGATACATATCTGATAGAGTAATTATAAAATAAAATAAATATATAAACATAATTAAAAAAATTTGGTTACATTATACCTACACTAATTGCATATATATAAATTATTTTATTCTGCAAAAATGATATACACTTTCTTAAATTACGTTAAATTATTAAGTTACAAACTTGTTACAACTATTTTCAAAGGGTGTGAACGGTCTCAAATTACTATGTTATGGAAAATTTGCCAATTTTCTGAATATCAAGCCAGATTTTTTAACTTATTAGCACATACAGAATATAAACATATATTTTATAAAATGCAAAGTACGCTCGTAATGATAATTTTACAATAAAATATAAATAAATACTGTATAGCTAATAATATTTATGAAGTTAAAATTTGTGTTCTGTATGTAATGAATAATTTGGGTTGTGTTAGAGTTTTTTACAAAAAATAATTCTCTAGTAGAGTTAGAATATTCATTTAAATTTAGTATTTCTATTAATTGACAGACTGAATTACACCCAGTTTATGATTGGGATAATTCTTGTGATGTAAATAGTTGAATTCAACAATTATAAATAAAGGCCCTTTTGAGTAACTCAAGCATAAAGCCTGGCACGCATTATTAACTAGGCCAACACTAACACACCATTAAACAAAGTAGTCTCTTCTATTACATTTAATTTCTATTCAGATCTTTTGCCTAGACATGTTGCGGTCGAATCGGTTCTTTGAAAGGATTTGGCCTTTAGGATAGGTAGTACAATAAAAAGTCAGGGCCTAATCACATGTACTGTGGATCAGGTCACGGTTTATCAATCAACTGGGTTTGATTAAGAATCAAGTCATGGATCATTATTTACACAAGTTCGGTTGGGGTAATTATGATCAATGCAAAAATCGATCGTGTCATGCATAAAACACGTGGATCAGTAAAGCTAAGTATTTTATGTTTAATTGATTAATTATGTAATAACAGTATAATTTATTAATCATAACTTAATTCAATTTGAAGGTCCGTTATCACATATAAAAAAAACATATAAAAAAGTAAAGGAAGTTATACTTGATCGGCGGATAAAAAAGAAAAGAAAAGAAAAGAAAAAATAAAAAAACAACTATATCCTGTACCTTTGAAGACGGAAATAAGGATGTAACTGTAGGTATATATGGTTGGTCACAACTCTTATGTGTAGGGTGGAGGGCATGGGATTCATGGGCATGCCCTCCTTATGCATGCCCCTGGGCATGCCCATATCACATGATTAGATATAGTTTCTAAGAATAAATCAAATTTGTGTAATCATAACTCTTACTTAAGGTTCTGCAATATTATTTGATCTTCAAATATTTGAATCAAATATTTGATCAAATTCAAATTCAAATTTGACTATATTTGATTTGATCAAATTCAAATATGGCCAATTTGATTTGATTTGACAAATATTTGATTTGATTTGAAAATTACTATTAAAAATTCAAATTCAAATCAAATTCAAATTCGAATATTTGAATAAATTCAAATATGGCCAATTTGATTTGAATTAAAAAAAAATTAAATTTGATTTGAAAATTACTATTAAAAATTCAAATTCAAATCAAATTCAAATTCGAATATTTGAATCAAATCAAATTCAAATTAGGGTCAATTTGATTTGATCAAATTCAAATTGATCCAATATTTGATTTGATTTGAATTTGAGGAACCCTACTCTTACTTGCTAATTTAATACAAATAAATAAACTTAAATATATAGCATCAATTTGAAAAGCTTAGATGATTTTATACTCGCCATTAATTTAATGTAAATAAATAACCTTATCCGGCAAACTCATATGATTATGAAAAAATTTCTTACTGTTATTTTTTTCATGTGTTATGACGTAAACATGGTTATTTAAATTAAAACTCAGCGAGCAACTCCCTACCAATCATGATCATAAATTGCCGGATAACACCAATATTGGGCAAATTGTCGAATACAGTAATTTGGCAAATGATTGGCTACACGCGCCACAGAGCGGCACGTGATCATTTGCCAAATTACCGTTATTCTACAATTTTTGCCCAATATTGTATACTTAAATGACAAAATGAAAATATGAACTTTGAATAATTTATCTTGAATAAATCTAATACACACTGCTAATGGTCTATCTTAAATGATCTTTATGCACTGTGCTAACGTGAATAAATAAACTTAAATGAATAGGTATTGTAATATTCATAAACTGTATTAATACAACAAAATCTTAGGTATCAATATTTGTATAATTATTGGACAGTAAAAAAAATTTAATGATATTTTCTCAAAAGTTTGATTTATAAGCATAATAAAATTATTTATTAGGATTTTTAGAATAATTAATTGTCCACAAATTGGCACCTTACCAGATTCATTAATGCAATTCTTGTTAATCTGGTTTGGAAATACTAAAAAAATAATCGAGACTATAAACTAATCAGTTATGCTTAATTTAGTTTCTTACAATAATAAAAGATAATTATGGGTCAATAAATTAATTACTAATCAACTAACCCATTGCACTTAACTCAGTTTCTCATATTAATTAAAGGTAATATTAGTAATAATATTAACTGATTGCTAGTGAATTTTGCTGCAAACTAATTTTTACACATGCACTAACTTTGAAGCAAAGTAAAAAAAAAATACTATATCTGATATAAACTTAATTTAGAAGTTTTACTTCCCAATTAGTTCTAATGTATAATATATTTATTGTTTCCAAATTAATGCACATGCATAGATTAGCTGCAGCCACAAGTTCACTAATAAAGTCAGTTGATATATAGGCTTCATATTTCGACATATTGTTGAGTAGCTTGATAGATGCATAATTAATCACTAATTAACTAACCCGATGCACTTAACTCAGTTTCTTATATTAATTAAAGGTAATAATATTAACTGATTGCTAGTGAATTTGTGCTACAAACTAATTTTTGCACGTGCACTAACTTTGAAACAAAGTAAAAAAGTATACTATACAGACTTAATTTAGAAGTTTTACTTCTCAATTAGTTCTAATGCATAATATATTTCTTGCTTCCAAATTAATGCACATGCATAGATTAGCTGCAGCCACAAGTTCGCTAGTAATATTAGTTGATATATAGGCTTCATGTTTCGACATATTGTTGATAATGCAAGAGTAGCTTGATAGATGCATAATTAATCACTAATTAACTAACCCAATGCACTTAACTCAGTTTCTTATATTAATTAAATGTAATAATATTAACTGATTGCTAGTGAATTTGTGCTTCAAACTAATTTTTGAATATGCACTAACTTTGAAACAAAGTAAAAAAGTATACTATACAAACTTAATTTAGAAGTTTTACTTTTCAATTAGTTCTAATGCATAATATATTTCTTGCTTCCAAATTAATACACATATATAGATTAGCTGCAGCCACAAGTTTGCTAGTTGTTAGTTGATATGTAGGCTTCATGTTTCAACATATTGTTGGTAATGCAAAAGTGGCTTGATAGATGCATAGTATAAATAATAAATGCATAGTAAATAAATCATTAGATTAGAAAAGATAGTTAGTTAGAAAATGATATTTGATATCAAAATAAAGAGGATTCAGAGTATAATTAAGATAGAGAGAATGTGTCATTATAATAAAAGAAGATACACCAATATGTCATGTGCATTATCCCTTAAACCGTCAGCAGTTAGCAGCATATTTAGCTCTAAAATGTTAAAAAGTTGTTTCTGATCTATTTTCATCAAAATTTAAAATATTTTAAAAAAAGTTTATATATTAATATTTAAAAATAAGGATTATAAAATAGTAATATTTATTTTTAAATTAAAAGAAAAAAAATAAGTTGTCTATATAGTAAAACTTTTAAAAATCAATTTTTTTTTATAAAATACAAAATTTTATCTTTATTTATTGACAAACTTTTTAAAATTCTAAGCATAAGTCCCATATAATTTTGATTCAAATTGTAGAATTTGGTTTAAAAAATAACTTTAATTATTAAAATTTTTATAATTTTATAAATAAAATTTTAACTTTGTATAATAGCAAAAATTTTTTTTATAGATGAGAACATATAAAAATTTATAAATTTATAAAAAAGGAGTTATCTATATATCACACAGCGCAATACTCTTATTTATTGCCCAACCAATCAAATTTTAGAATCAGGTGTTAACATAAAAAATACAAAAAACTTAAATCAAAATTTTGTATATGAAACAGCTCTTCGTGTTCTAACAAAAAAAATTCCTTGCAAAATTTTGATATAAACTATGCATCATTCTAACCCAAGACCAAACTTACACTAACCCTAACCCTAATTAAAATGAAGTAAAGTAGTTTGTTTTTTTTATTGGTTTGATCTCACGTTATACCTGTCCTTATAGAGTGCGATATATAATTGCGTTGCATAGCGCGATATATATATTTTTTCTATAAAAAATATTTTGAAAATTTTATAATAAAATTTTAGAATTGGCAATATTTCAAGCTAAATATCTTTAATACTATTAGAGTTAAATTAAAAATTTATTTAATAATAATTAAAAATATCTTAAACTTTTATTTTAGCTAAGAAATAGGGGGACATATGCTTAATAAAATTTCAAGTTATTGTAAAAAATAT